TTCACCTAGCATTAGCATACTCTATTGAGAACACTAACCTAAAAGAAGACATTTGATATTATTTTTCAAAAAGGAGAAAAATATTACAGTAAAATTAACAATAAATACACTGACTGATGGCTTGTATGCTACGGATCATAAATAATGCAAATGAGGTGTATGAAAGTCATTAACCCAATATAATATATGTTTAAATAAAAATTTGCAGCTATGCTAACTTTTTCACTATTTTCAAACTAGTTACCTTTGAGAATCTTAAAAATCATGATTACAATTCTTTTTAAAAAGTATAGAATATATTTTGATGGGATCAACCATGTTTAGCCGGCCCCCCTTACTCAAAATTTCTGGTTCCGCCACTGGGCATGATGTGATGATGAAGGCTGTGATAGTCAAATATACTAATAAACTTAAGGTCACATTCGTTATGTACACCATCTCTATAATGCATAAGGTTGCAGCTTTCATAATATTTCTTTTCTAGAGGATGGGGTTAAGCCCGGTTGTGTATATTAAACCACAAGAAACTATACAGGGAGAGGTTAATAGACAGAAATTAGTGAAGGGTTTGTACCAAAGCTAACAGGGAAGGTCTTGCAGATTCTTTTACTCTATGAGCTTGTAGGAGAGTGATATTGATAAAACTGTTTTTCAGGACGTGTAGCTTGGCTGCTTGTTCTAAAAAGATTAGATTGTTTCCTTGTTTGAAATTTTCCAAGCAGCAATAATGAAAACTTTCATGAAGGGAATTTAAGTATTGTTTTTGCCTTCTCCATCATGCTGAATCCTTTTGTTGATTAACAATTCGTTTCTTTTCTTGAAAGGTCCTCCGCTTGCAAGAATGCTTAAGCAAATACCAGAGAACTGCTGGAACCACTCCTCAGGTTCTGTCTCTGTGCATTGCACAATGATGTTGCATGCTGTATCTCATTGACTAGTAGTTTGATGGTTCCAGATTTAGACAGAAGGAACTCCCTAACTGTTTCAGATGGTGGCTTTTCTTTTTAATCTTCAGGTTGATCTTGCCCATCTTTTAGCAACTCGTGATCAAGAACTTCGAGCACTCACTGCTGAGGTAACTATGTTTATTGAATTATTATTACTATGTTATACATTCCTCAGAAAGTATAACTTACATGGATAGTTGGATACCATGCGTATCTAGTGATTTGGGATGCAATGCTATATTACTATCATAAGCCAGGCTGCCATCTTATGTAAATTAGTAAGGAGGTTCTCAAGAAGAGTTGTGTCTGCCTACTTTGTACTTCTTGCAGTAACTACTTACAGTGGTTTCAGCTACTAAGTGATCTGCTTGCAGATGTAATAAATGTGCCTGTCGACATGCTTGGGTTATTTCTTTATAGTGTGAAAAGTGAACTGAATATGCATTAGATGACTAGATGATGAGCGAGAATGTAAAAAACCAAAATTCTTGATAGAAGTAAATCAGTAATTCAGCGCTGACCGTGCAGATGGATCAAGTGCACTCCGAACTTCAACTTGCCCGTGGTTTGATCGATGAAAAGGACTCAGAGATCCAGCGTATCCGTCTGAGCAACAACCAGGTATGTTGTTTAGCAATCAAGGATTCAAGGGTCTACCATAGAGTGCTGACAGATTGGGTTTATCTCGCATTTGCTTGAAAAGCACTGATTACTTTACCATAAAACACGTTCAATGCAGTATGTTGAAGAAAATGATAGGCTCAGAGCTATTCTCGGTGAATGGAGTGCTCGAGCAGCAAAGGTACTCTTGGTGCAGTGCTATTGTGTATTTATGGCATTTGTCCTTGTTCTCGTTATCATATCTTTGAGTATATTTAACAGCTTGAACGTGCATTGGAGGCAGAACGGGTGTCAAACATCGAATTGCGGAAAAACATTGCGAAGTTTAGAGGTCATTTATACAAAAAGCAGGAGGCCTGATTTCTCGTGTCTGAGGAACATGTACATCTTCGGTGTATTATAGCTGGTTCCAGAATTTTACCTAAGACAACTGACTAAAGGCAGTCATCTCAGGAAATACTAGAATTCCAGACGATCGGCACAAATTTTGGATAGAGAAGAGCATCTCGGTCTGGATCCATTTGAACTGAGACTGAGTACGAGATTGGCACATGATTGTTCGATGATGCATATGCGTAGTTTGATGTACATATGATCGTAGGTTTGATCGTGTAGAGTATGGTATTCCTCGTCATAAAAAAATTAGAGTATGATATTCCTGTGGTTGACTTCTGAGTATCATGAACATGGTAGTGTCTGGTGGTGTGGTTCACAGCAGACCAGCAGAGTTTGCAGGCTCTGGTCATTCTTGGAGCTCTGCTGCAGATAGGATTTTGCACTAACTGAAGAGGCAGCTAGGAAAGAATCTTACACGAACAAGAACAAGATCGCCCCTCCAACTCCAGCTCAAATACGCAATGTGTAGTGAATAAACCCAGACTTACAGACCCACTTGGGCCACCGGTTACAAGCTCATGGCTCATGGATCACTCGCTCCTGAACCCAGTTTTCAGTTTGCCACCATAGTTTTCTTTTTCTGATTTGTTTGTGTTTTCGTATTCTGTCGGACTCTTTCTTCTGGTATCCTCTATGTATGTCTTCGTAGGCTTGTTACGTATTATACGATATTCCTCTGGTTAAGGGCCTCTTTGGATCGGAGGATTGGGATAGGATTCCACTTCCTAAAGACTGACGAGTGGTTATGTTGTTGCGTTTACTTCCAACGAGTCCTACGGCAGCGATGAATTTGCATCGATAGTCTAGAATGGACACGTCCACATGGAGATGTTTGGGAATTGGTTCTGAGATGAATAAATGATGTGAACAGTGGACTGCACGTTCGGACAATTTAGCACGGACAGAATTCGATTAGTCCAGGGGAAGACGAAGTCTCCGTTTTGTGAACAGTGGGCTTGTGGCAGGGGAAGACGAAGTCTCCGTTTTGTGGCTTGTGGCTGACAGTTTTCAGTGCTGGGAGAATAGATACTTTCGCCAATGGCTTCTCTCATTTCCCACACAACGCAGGTGCCAGGTGGAGACGTAAAGCCAACACTGATAGATCATTACAGCAACTAAGGAATCTCCATGGGAATATTTTGGTAAATATCCTCCCACCATTTCTTCGTCAATGGACTTGCAATTTGTGTGGTAGAACATCGCATAACGTGGGGTCCCATCTGTAGCCTGGTGACGGTGACCAAATGCCCTTCTGTTTGCTGTCCTTAGAGAAAATTGAGGTTAAAAGACCACCAATTCTCCATGCTACTTCAAAGAAATCGAAACAAGGAAGCAGCACCAAGTCAACTGGTACCTAAAATCTGGCAGAAGACCATTCAATGTCGATGCTTAAAACCAAGCGCCCGTCCTTCTCCCCCCAAAAGGCCAAAACCATGAGTTGTCATGGTGGCACAATAACATCCAAATATATCTCTGCTTTGAATTTGGAAATCTGAAATGACGGCATAGATTTTTGTACGAAAAACTGGCCTGCATTTTTCTGGTGGGGAGAAAAAAAATCTAGATGGGCCCATCTGGGCACCTGGGTACCCCCAACCGTAAGTGTCACGCAACGGAACGGAACGTGTCGCTTTCCTTTCACGCCTTCCTCCCCGTTCGCTCCCATCTCCCGCCTCCCTCCCATCTCCGCCCTCCCTTCTCCAGTCTCCACCCTCCGCGCCGACGCCTCTTGGTGTCTGGTCAGGCGGTCGGTCAGCAGCGCCACCACCCCCACCGACCATTTGCCGCGTTGGCGTTGCCGGATCCTCGAAGCAGTCAGCCCACCCCGCCCGACCCGAGAACCCGCACGCGCGCGTATTAATAACGGCTACCTCGCTCCCCCGCCCGCCCCCGAAGGCCGAGGGAAGCGCACGCACCTAGCGACCAGCGCACAGATTCGTTCCACGCCCCCCTCGTCCGTGCTCCCAGATCTCGCGCGCCTCCCGCAAGGTACGGACGCGGATCCCGCCACCATTTTTTGCTAATGCTTATTGCGTTCGACCTTCTCCGTCCATGGATCGTTGGTTGGTTGATTGATCCCTCGAGTCTTGTGGGTGCGATCTGCGTTGCTCGCGGGGCGAGGGGAGGGGATCTCGGTTGAATGAGTTGATTTCGCAGTTTAGGCTGCGTATCTGGCCAGTAGGGATCCAGAGATGGGCCGTTTGGAGCCGGATCTAGAGGTGGTTCCGCCTTTCGCTAAGGAGAGTATAGGGATGCCCCCTGATTTTCTGCTTCTAGAAGGGTGCGTCAGGTGCTCCTGTTGTGTGATCTTTGTCGCCTTGTGAAGCTTGGACCAGGCAATTGGCGGGAGTTTGTCAGAATAATACAAAAATAGCTGGTGCCACGAGATCAGGGGAGTTCAGATCAGGTTATGACTTATGATTATTTGATCTTCTGATTGTTAATGACATGAATCAGTGCATCTGTTGGTAAAGGTAGAACATTGTCGGATCCCACCTAGGATGCCTTCTTCATTGAGGCACTGTATTATTTTTTCTCAGTTCATAAAGCCAGCACCTTTTGCACTCCTAAGACTCTAGTGCCCAATAGAATGTATGGAATGGAATTGCTTGGTGGCGACTTATGATTATTTGATCTTCTGATTGTTAATTGAATCTTGTTGGTAAAGGTAGAACATTGTCGGATCCCACCTAGGAATCAATATTCATAAAGCCAGCACCTTTTGATTAAGAGTGCCCAATAGAATGTATGGAATGGGTTGCGCTTGAATGCTGAATCAATATTTTAGCTGATTGACTTCTAATGCTGCAAACATGAGACAATCCGTATAAGCTAATCTGTCGTTACAACCTAGTTGATATAATTTATCCGGTCCCTATTATGTAACATTGTATTTCTCGGTAAACAAAAGTGGTCTTGCTTTGCCCTTATTATGAAATGGTTCCTTTTTTTTGCATTTGATATGTGCAAGTTTGGAATTTTGTTGTACAAAGATGCAATACCAATTGTAATCAAACTGCAGGGTAACTTTGAGCCATGGGCACAGTTGTGGATGCCACTCCAGCAGTTGTGGCTGAGGAGGTACTTTGCGTTACTCATTTACTTGAAGTTTCCGATCCCCTATTTATTCAATGATTGGCTCTGCTGCAAAGCACTAGGTTCGTTGAGAATGTTCAGCATCTTACCTTTTCATTAACAAAATATAATTGAGATCGCTGAACCCTTTGGTTTAGAGGTCAGGCGTTTCTAAGTTTCTAGATTTCTATTACATCAACAGTTGGTGCCCTTGAACCTTGCATTTTTGTAACTAAATTTCAGTTGATTTTGTTAGTACATATGCCTTGCCTTATTTTCCTGTCTGATTCATGCTTCTTGAAATCAAATCAACCTCCATGTCCTTAACGAAATTGCGCTTCCTGCATGTTTTCATTAAAGAGATGTCCTTGTCATTTCATACGACTTGTGCTATTAAAAAACTATGATTTGTCTTAGAAATGTGCTGTATGTGCAGGTCACTGAGAACATGTTGGGTGGCAAGAAAGTTACAGTTGTATTTGTTCTAGGTATCTGTTCTATCTTCAGTAATTTTTAGGTTATTTGTGTCCTACCATAGAAGAGAACAAGCTTATAACAGCTTTGAATTTAAATGAGTTGATGTGTTATATGGGGCTACTATGTGCACTTTAAATAGATAATTTTGTTTTGCATCTGATCAAGAATTTACACATAGGTGGTCCTGAAGTGGAAAAGGCACACAGTGTGCCAACATTGTGGAGCACTTTGGATTCACCCATCTTAGTGCTGGAGATCTTTTGCGTGCAGAGATTAAATCTGGCTCTGAGAATGGGTATGTTTTTCCCTCTATAAGAAAGCTAATAACTTATGCTTTTTATTTACTTTTCCTTCTCAACAGACTTTTTTTTTCTTAGAAAACAAAGGATCAGTCTTGTTGAGCGGCACATTTGACATTTTGTGTGTTCTCTATCTATGGTGCTCCTTGATGTTTCACAGAACCATGATCGAGAACATGATAAAGGAGGGAAAGATTGTTCCATCGGAGGTGACTATAAAGCTGTTGCAGGAGGCAATGATAAAAAATGAAAATGACAAATTCCTGATCGATGGATTTCCAAGGAACGAGGAGAATCGTGCAGCTTTTGAGAATGTTGTAAGGCCCTCTTTTTTGTACACAAAATTTCTCCGGTTCTCATGTTAGTTTAAGAAATTATTGTTCCGTACTTTTAGTTACTTATAAATGAATTTTTACACTATTAATTCTTTCTCATTCCTTCAGACCAAAATTTCTCCTGCGTTTGTGCTATTCTTTGACTGTTCCGAGGGAGAGATGGAGAGACGTCTGTTGGGGCGCAATCAGGTTTCCTTCATCGTTAACCAATTGTGTTTTTTAGTCACAAAATTCTTGTTTCCAATATTTCTTACTGTCTTTGCAGGGAAGAGTTGATGATAACATTGAAACTATCAAAAAAAGGTTCAAAACCTTTGTTGAATCAAGTCTGCCTGTCATTGAGCATTACAACTCAAGGAACAAGGTTAAAAAGGTATTGATGAACTTTTATCTTGCCAGGGGTACTCCTATTGCACTCCGATGACGCAAATATGTGATGTATTATGCAGTAGAAATAAAGCCAGAGTAAGATGCACATTAGAAAAAATACGTGAGGTTAGAAGGATATTTTAGATCTATCGTGTGTGTTCCTTTGATAATGGCCATTATAGTCCACATTTCAATTAATTGATGGCCTTTTCTTTTTGCAATGTTTTCACTTTAGCCCCTATAGTAACTTTTCATTTTATCAGATTGATGCTGCAAAACCAATTCCTGAGGTGTTTGAAGACGTCAAAGCCATTTTTGCCCCATATTCTCCAAAGGTAATTAGTTTTTTTTTTTTTTTGCAAATGTAGCATTTCCAGATGGATCTTTAATCTCATGTTTGCCTTAGCATTGCATTGAATATGTTGTCTTCCATCTTTGAATGTATGTCTACAAGAATTAAATTATGTTCACCTTTAAAAACTTGGATCATTTTTTTCCCATTATGTTTGCATGACTAAAATACTAGGCCTTATTTAGATTGCAAGTTTTTTCACTCTCTCTCCATCACATCAAATCTTTGGACACATGCATGGAGTATTAAATGTAGATAAAAAAAATAACTAATTACACAGTTTGATTGTAAATTACGAGACGAATCTTTTGAGCCTAGTTAGGGCATGATTGGACAATAATTGTCAAATACAAATGAAAGTGCCACAGTGTCAAATACTGATTCCTAACCCCAATCTAAACAAGGCCCTAGTACAAATCTAAATACTCATCACATTGTCTTCTCTATCAGGCTGAATAGAGCAATCTAAGGGACATGATAAAGGTGATACATGGTGTCATAGGTATACCCTCTATATTGCACCTGCCCTAAATGGTTTCATCTGGTTCTTGCCACCATAAGTGAGATTCTCATGCGATCTTCATAATCTTTTTGCAGGCACCACACAAACATATTTGTGATTATGAACCCTTTAATATATAACAAAAGTTTTGGCTCATATGAGCTACCAGCGTACCGGTAGGCAATTCGATTTGTTACCAGCAATCAGGGCGTTCGGCTGGTGCACTGCTCGCTTGTTTCAGCTTGTTTCAGCTTATTCTCCCCCACGTAACACTATTGAATCGTCCGAAACCATCCGAAATTTACTGTGCTGGGCACCATCCGAACACGGTGAATAAGTAGATCTGATTCCCAGTGGTCCTGCTAGAGTAAAATTTTACCACTGTGTTGTTTATGTATCCTTTGATGTTGTGTTGTACCAATGTGTAATTTTACTTCATGGACTGATGTGACCTTGTGCCATTACACCAGGTTTCTTGTTTTATGGAAAGTGTAAAACTGCTACCATATTCTTTATGCGTTGAAATATATTCATTGCACCGAACTTTTGTCTGATGAACTTGTAATAGTACCCTCTCGGCAGTAAATATATACGCTTAACAAGCATCTTGTAGATGCTGCTGCTTAGATTGAGAGTATAATGACATGTTCGAAGTACTGCAGTGTCATGAATCATAAAGCCAGAGAGGTCCAGAACCATTGCATATTCCGTATGGTACTATTGTACTTTCTCGGTCCCAAAAGGATATAATTCTGAAATGGTACTATGTTTTAGTATGTTAAATTTAACCTAATTTATATAAAAATATTAATATTTGGCATACTAAATAGGCATTATTACATTTGTCATGAAACATATTTTTATAATATATATTGATGTCATAAGCATTAATACTTTTATCTATATATTTGATTTGATCAAACTTTAGACACTTCAACTTGGATATCGCCCTGTTCGTTTGGCTTATAAGCCGTACTTTTTCAGTCAACGAACAATATTTTTCTCTCATAACAAATTAGCCAACGGTATTTTCAGCCATGGCTTATCAGACGAACAGGGCGTTATTTTGTGGACGGAGGTAGTATAAGGTTAATTGGAGATAGGCTTGTTCCCTTCTCTCTTCTGAGGTCGAAGATGTCGCCAAAAAAATCACAACAGCACATCTGATGGAATCCGACTGTTTTGCGCCGTTTGTGAGAGCTCCCGTTCCTCCTTCCCGGTTTTGAGGCCTTTGGGCCAGGTTCAATGAATGTTGCACCCACCTTCCAATTCGAGAAGGGAAAACGATACAAGTCTTGGGCCCCTCATCAACGACGCCCAAAGTATTATATGGCTGAATGAATGAACGGTCCACACTTCACAAGTATATACTATTTTCTTTCCTATAAACAACTGAAATCCCAGGCCAAAAAGGGGGGGAAATCTGTGCACTGGATCAACACTGAGATCCATTCATTTGTAGTATCCTATAATCCCAGTCCTATAAAAAAGACGAAGGCCAGTAGGACACTCTGATCCCTTTGAGGCATATTGCAAAACATTGGTGCACTGAAGGGTTAAATACTCTTCACCCTTTGAGGCATATATATGCAGTGTACTACTCATTGAGGAGTTTGTCGCTACCATGGTGTAATGCTAATTAAGTATTCAATATATAGAACCATGCATATATCCTCGTTTATGGTCTACTGTACAGAAGAATCACATGAAATTGCACATGGGCTGCAGAACGAGTAATCTCTAGAATCAAGCCCTTGTTTAGTTCACGAAATTTAGATTTTGAGCTACTGTAGCACCTTCGTTTTTATTTGGCAAATAGTGTTCAAACATGGACTAATTAGGCTCAAAACGTTCGTCTCGCAATTTCCCACCAAACTGTGCAATTAGTTTTTCTTTTCGTCTACATTTAATGCTCCATGCACGGGTCGTAAACATTCAATATGACAAGTACTGTAGTAACTTTTTAGAATTTAGGGTGGAACTAAACAAGGCGCAAATACACGTCCCTCGCTGCTGGGTGCTCGCAGCTGTAGGCGGCCGCCGGCCATACGGCTGCCGGCTGCTGGTTATTGGGTTTCACGGCCATGGATATCGGTTCTGTATAAGTGTATACTGGAATTGTATTTCTAGTTTTCTTTATTTATTACTATAGGAAAAAGAGACTATATGACGTCATCATGATGTCACCCTTTAAGAATCAGAGCCATTAGAAAAGGCGCTAGGCGGTGACCAAATTAAAGTTAATCTTCATGCCTTGATGTAATCTGTATATGCAACACCACACCAACGGACAATGAATCAATGAATCACAATTGAAGATTTAAGAGGCATATTATATCCACAAAGACGTACGTAGTCTGTAGATGCAACATAACTACATACCAAGTACCTACAGAGCAGACGACACTAAGGCAGAGAAGGATTTAATAATATGCCTCTGAAATTTATACAGAGGAGGAAGGACTGAAGGAGTACAGAGGAGGAAGATGACCGGGAGAAAAGGAGAGAGGAGCAGTGGAGAGCGGAGGGGAGGAGAACAGGGGATCTTGCCTTGGGGCTTCAGGTCACGACGACCGTCAACGAGGAGGTCCGGCTTTGGGTTACGGCTCACCGTGGCATACGGAGGGAGGAAGAGTTCACGACGCGAACGGATCGAGGAGCATGCGGCGGCAACGGCTTCGACCAAGCGGAGGAGAAGGCAGGGAATGGGGAGAGGGAAAAAGAGGGGACGATGCGAGCACGGGGCTCGTGGAGGCGGGGTGCCGGGGAGCCCAGGCGCTAGGCAGGGCGGCCGCGCGTGCTCTCCCCCGACGAACAGGCCGGCGACGGCAGCATCTTCTATCGGGAGCGGCTGGCTGCTACCCGCGGCAGCAGGCACCAGGTTGATGGCTCGGGATAGGGCGGCGAGGAAAAACCAGATGTGCGGAGAAGGGATCGTTGTCGAGGTGGTATAAACCAGATCCTCCGTGGGACGCAGAGGCAGAAGTTGAGGTCGCGGACGAGAGGTGAATCCCACGGCGCTCCTCCGTGGCACGGGCTTGCGGCGCGGCAGGGAGTGAGGAGGCGGTGGCGTGGGCGAGCGCGGGTGAGGACGGCGTGGTAGACGCGGCGCCTGTGCGACGAGCGGACTGGAGGAAGAGGAGGCGGTGGCGTGGGCGACCGCGGGGCTGAGGGAAAGGGAGGAGGAAGCGTGATTGGTCGTGGCAAGAGGAAGGAGCGCGATTGAAGGCGGCATCTCGCGAGGGGAGGGAGCGTTGGTCCACGCGCGGGGGAGCGTGCGCCTGGGGAAGCGAGCGAGTGGGACAGTGATTCAGACGTCCGGGTCCACCACGCGGGGATCGTGCGCGATGCCCCAGAAGTTTGGGAGCGAGCGAGCCATCGCACGCCTGTGAACGATCGGAATCTAAATGTTTTAGTTGTATATAGTATATATATATATATATATAAGAGATAATCCATCGCATCTGGTGGGGATCACATCACACACATGTATCATCATATATATATATATATATATATATATATATATATATATATATATATATATATATATATATATATATATATATGTCGCTGTTAAAAGTAATTAAACTGATTTGTTACGAAAGAAAAATGCTGTTTATTCACTGAGAAAGTAAGACTCACGAGACGAGCAAGAATGATGCCGTAGCCTTTGCTTAAGCTGGTGCGGTAGGCATGTGGGCGCTGCAAGACGGTAAGTAAGCACTCCATGTGGCTGTGGGCGGCAACCAAACCGGCAGATGGAGAGGGAGAGCCATCACCCTCACGACATCTCGCTCTCACACCACGAGGCACGGAGCCAGCTCCAGTGCTCCCTGCCGACGCGCGCCGCCCAGTCCGTGAAAAAACATCGAGTCCCTCAGGCCGGCCGCCGGCCCCGTCGGTCGTCCCAACTCCCAAGAAGAATCGGTGGTTCCACACGCTGCGACCACAAGAACTACTGTATTTTCCGCCGAGTCGGCTGATGATCGGTGCCCACTGTTGGTTGGGCGACGTGAGATGGAGAATAGGGTGAGTCCGCACGCTAAATCCATCCCGTTCTGCTGCTCAGTTTGCCGGTGCCCACCCAGACCCAACCAAAAGGCCACAAGCCGATACCACATGTGGAGAGACAGTTCTGGATTGCCGCCGAGTCATGTCATGGCCTGGTCCACCCCACCCCCACCATGCGTCCATGCGCGAATCGTCCCTCTTTTTTTTGCAAAAAGGCAGAGGCGCAAAGTCGTGGCCAGGTCTCCTCCAACGTGTTTGCCAATTGCCATGCTTGCTTGCTAATCTTACTACTGGTAGCAGTACCTTTCTGCCGGTGTCATGGGTTGACGCGTGCCCTAGAGTCTGGGCTCTGGTTGGTCGCCGTGTTGGGGTTAATTTGGCGCCGGAAACGTCAAGCGAGACGGTTAAAAGCTTGGTTGGCCGCCGGGCCGTGGCGCCGGCAGGGTGCGTCAACGTCCGTGGACGGCGGTAGGGGCCGCGACGAAAGCATCAGGATCGGCGGCCAGCAGCCGCTCCACGCTAGAACGATCTGGGCGCCGGCGGGGTCTCGCCGTCTCTCGGTGCCCGTCGCTCTCGGCAGCATATCCTGCGATTCCCCCGGCCTGGATTCCTTTTCTCTCCGACAATCGGGACTATTTGCACCCAGGTCACCAAACATTCTCCATATTCGGGTATATATGGATGTGTGTTTACATTCATTTAGTGCTAATTTGATTTTTTTCTCCCGCTAGTCAAAAATACTGATGATCAAATGCAATGCACCCATATTCACCCATATGAACGTGGACATACACACAACACAACACATGTACCCCTTCCAAACGACCGGGGCTGACGATGTCACTAAAGATATCTCATGATTAACTGCCATATTACCTACCTCTTAAAATAATAACGTCATTAAAACCCGGAATAAAATAAAACCAGAAAAAAGAAATACAAACACTCACTTTCAAGGTAGGCAGGTCCTAAAACATAACAATTCATTGCTAATTCATCGTTTAGGGTTGTGGCAACTGAAATCACATTTGGTAGGTTCGTTACACGATTTGATATCGAAAATAGGTCTCACTAGAGCCACCAAATACTTCCCTCTGTAATAATAAATAGACATCTTGAACTTATTAGTTTGTCCTAATAGACGTTACTCCCTTGGTTTCTATAAGAAAGCCATTTAATTTTTCTTAAATCAAATGCCCAAGTTTATATAGATAAAAATTGTTAAATGTCACCAAACATACATGCTATGGAACCATATTTCATGATGAATCTAATAATTCTTCGTTCCCTTCACAAAAAATTATAATAATACTTATTTCATATAATAAATTTTGATAGTTTTTAAAAGTATGGTCAGATCTAAGATGTTCCAGACTTATGACAAAATAAAATGATTTTTTAGAGACAAAGGATTATATATTTAAAAACAGAGGGATACTAGTAAGTACTAGCATTTAGCAGCAAAACAAGGTCAGAAAATAGCAAATTCTATTACCCTCTCCCCAAGAAAAGAAAATCAATCAAACAATGTAAAAGGACTGGCAAGAAAAAAAAAGGGGCCTTTTTTTAATCACGCCCCGCTCCCTTTAAAAGCCGTAAATCAGAGTGGAGCCCGAGCAGGCATAAATCAGAGGCGCGCACGTGTAACGTGTTGTTGGTTTGGTTGCCCACTTGCCCTCCCTCTCTCACGGTCACGGGCGGAGAGCGCCGACGTGGCGACGGTGGCAGGCAACGGCCGCGGCCCGAGTTTTTAATACGAAACCGCCACCAAGCCGCTTGCTTCCGGCCTAGTTTCACCTCCCCCGTTCCCTTGGAATTGGATTTGCTCCCGAATCCGGCGAGGAAGCGCCCGGCACTCCACGACACGCCACGCCGCCCGGGGAAGGGAGGCGCGGAGCCCCAGGCCTCGTCTCCAGCACCGCCGCAGCCGGCGCGAGGCGGCGCGGCACGAGCACGACGGTCACCATCAGCCACCGCGCGATCCCGAGGGACGGACAGGTCAGGTTCGGCGCTTTAAGTTTGTGGAATCGCGGTTCGGGCAGCGAATGCGGGATCTGTTGCGGGCGTGCGTGGGGAAGATGGAGTTTGTTTTGGGATTTGGGCATTTGGCTGTCTGGTGGTGCTGCGCAGTGAGGCTGGGCGGCGTTACTATTGGCGGCCTCTGGGGGTTGGTGCTGTGTGAATGTGAATCCTGGGGGCAATAGCGAGATCGTGGCGTTCTGGTGTTAATTTGGGATGTTTGGGGTCAGGGACTCGGGCCTTTGTTGATTTTCTGTAAAACGGTGTGAGGTTTTGGGTGCCCTGTCAGGCTCGTTTCTGCGAGGTATCAATTTTGATCCAGTTAGAACATCTTATATAGCAGATAGGTCATCACTGTTTTGCTTTGTTTACCTTGATGTCGTGGGGTTGTCCATTTGTTTTTTCAGGAGATAGTTTGAGAAGAGCATTTTAGGATCTAGTTTGAGAAGCTCTACTTTTTATTTTGCAATTTTGACGTGATATCTTTTAGTATCTTTTCATATGCATTGATCTAAGTGTTTGTGAGACGAATAAATAGTGCTGCTAAGATCTACATGCAAATTCTGCTGTAAAATTGTTATTATGTCCAGGCAATAAAATAAAAATGAAATCTGTGTAAGCATGCATGCAATTGACATATTACCATCTTTGTTTCCTGATCCACTTCTGTTGCTCCAATTGACAGATTCAGCAAAGTTTCACTCTTATTAAACTCCCCGACTGCGTCTAAGGAAGCAAGTGATTTCATTATGAAAGACTGGTCTATTTTCTCCAAACTTGATCATAATGGAGCTTACCTCCCCAAGTTCCCAATAGACTCTCCAGTATCTCATGAAATTGGGTTAGGATTGATACCACAAGTTGGAAACTTAGTTGAGTGTTCATTTCAACATCCAAGGCGATATGTGCTACGGGAGTGGAGCAGTTCAGGAAGCATTCAGCAGTTTCAACAAGTTTGCTGGAGCTTTCTATTTCTGGTTTTCTAGAGCATCGAATCCTAAGTTATTCCAAAGGCTATCAGCTGCTGCAGGCTCAAGTTCAAGAGCTTGTCGGTCACACATAAAGCAAGTGACCTCTTGCTTGCAGCATTTACCTGGATTGCAGTTTGGTTCACAATTAAGAGAAGAGCATGCTGTACAAATGCTTTTAGCGAGGCTTGCAAGCGCAACTTGTGGACGCCTGTGGACGGAGGTGGAGGAGCGACATGCCTGCAACATCCTTATGCTGGCTGCTGCTACTGTAATACCACCATTTGAAAACATGTATGAGTTCACCACATGCTATTTTCTGAGCTGACACGACTTACTTTCGCCATTTGTTTTTTAAACTTTTTTGTTATTTTGTTTTATCCGTGTACAAGATCGCCAAAGATGCTGGCTGAGTCAATGGCACTAAGAAAAGATGGTGGACACATCCAAGAACCTGCTGAACAGTCTTATTCAGAGGAAAGCCGTCCAGGTTGTGCGTGTGCTGCTGTGCCAAGAGTACTCTTACCAGAGGATTTAACGGAACCGAAAACTGGCATCAAGTTCTCCACTCTACTTGAAGACAATTCCAATCTGACTACAGAGGTCCTTTTTCAAGCTTGCTTCTGTGAATTTTTGTTTTATGGGCCAATATTTTTTCCCTTATTTGCATATGATGAACATCACAATGCTCTACAAAATATCTATAATGTTGATGCTTTCTAGGTACACTGCCCCACTTGATACATTCATCTGATGGTTAAATTGGCAGGTCCTTGTTGGAATGGGTTTCAGAAGCATGCGGATAATGAGGGTTAAAAATCTGAATCTTTATGCCTTTGGCTTATGTGAGTAAAGTAACTTTTTCGTGTTTACTGTTTTTATGATTTATGAATTGCTAACATGGAAAAAAAAATAGCGGGCTATAGCGGCGGGAGAGACCTGACGCTAAGCTATTCCTATTTTTGCCGGTATGCCAACTTTGACCGCTGTTGCACGCTATAGCGCCGCTAAGTTGCATAGCTTCAGCGTTCAAATAGCGGCGCTATTTTAGGTTCACTCAAAGAGAAGGAACAGAATGCTTCATGACAGGATGAGTGACCTCGTGTATGTAAAATTTAATTCCAGGCTGAAGCATAGAAGAGAGAATAAGGCAAGGGAGCCCATTGAGAAGCAAGTTCTAGATATTCTAGAAGATGATGACAATGAATTTCATATTTTGCATGTTTTTTTGCATCAATTACTAGTGTTTTCCATGTTTTTTTTTATCAAAACGCTATCTGTCATAATGCCGCTAAAGCTTCATAGCTGCTGAAAAAAAGTTGCCGCTATTTTCAATAGCCCGCTATTTTAAACCATGATTGCTAACCGGTAGTTACTGCTTAATTATTGTCTTTTGGTTACTCATTATGTTATATTGACATTCTCAGATATACAACCTGATTCTGTTTGCAAGAAGCTGGGTCCAAAGTACGCTTGTATTCCAGAAGCTGAGTTGAAGGATCACCCAGATTTCTATGAAGATCTTCTGAGGTGTGCAATGCCTATTGATCATTTATGCGTCTTCACGAATTCTGTTATTAAAGACCTTCCCAAAATTCTGTCCATTACCTAGCCAGCCTGCCCTTTACGCGTAAACAATCGTGTAAGCTTAGGCACGCATTAAAAAAATGCTAGGAAATGTTGGTATCATTAAAAAATAAAAAGTGTGTTATGTATAGAGCACTTCTCCAGACCTGCAATTGTTTGATAACCATTTAAGCATTTATAATATTATTTATTTTGTGAGCTTCTGATGCTGCATAGGATCTGACACTGCAAATTTTCCCACCATTTTTTCCCTTATGTGCATCCTATTGCCTTTGATGCTAACAAACTTTCAATCTTTTCCAGGGAAAATATTGATATGACTGTTAGGCTAGTAGTAAGCTACAATGGCCTCAGCATTGGCACAGTTCGAGAGTAAGCATTCTTTTCTTTATATTTGGTTCAAATATGTTAGTATCTATATGCAAGTTGAAGTTAATCATTTGTCTCAACATGGTCTCCAGTGCATTTGAGAAGTCTCTTGGCTTCCGGTTACAAAAGGTATTTGCTGTTTATTCAGCAATTATTTGATACTTTCCTAGCCAATAATAGGCCTAAGTGAGCTTTTTGTGTATACTTTATTGAACCAGATGAATCCTAATACTGATTATAATTGCTTGAAGACATTTGGTTCCTGTTTTAGTGAAGACATTCGTATACCTGCTGTAAGTTTCTATGCTATATCTGGGCTGCGTAACTTAGTGCATTTGGTGTGAAGTTAAAAGTCAATGCAACTGCAGGGTACAAAGATTGACTTCCGGCAGACATCTGATGGCCAGCTAATAACTGAAAGTTAGTACCATATAGCTTATTGCTTTCCACATGCTTTAGTTTCTTGCCTCCACTACTATGTCTTGACTAAAAACATCCGTGTGCAGTTGATGGTAAACAAATTGGCACTGTCCAGAGCAAAGATCTTTGCAGTAAGTCAGAGTGTCAACTCTTGTAATTTCGTTACTATCAAGTAATGAAATTCGGCTTTGCCGTTGTGGAAAATTAAATCATGTATTTATGAATGAACAGGAGCCTTCTTCGATATGTACATTGGTGATCCCCCTGTTTCAGTGGAGACCAAACAAGACATTGCGCAAAATGTGGCTGGACTCATAAGAAGATGCTAGAAAAACAGGAAAACTAAATCGATGAACTTGGAATTATTTCATTCATCTATACAAGGAGAGGAGATATAAATAGAAAGGAAGCCAAGAGAGGATCTATTGTGTTTATAGTGGCAGACAGTCAGTTCGTAAGTTATAAACAGGCAAAAAGTTTCAACAAACAGAGGCCTAGCATCCTTGGCAAATGCCTCCATGCTTTTCATACGGTTTGGCATCTTGCCATTTCCTGGCCGGCTGGCGCACTGTGTCATGTACAAATGATACAGTAACAAGTTGTACAACAAGAGGATGTTTCTCTACCCCCAAAGTCACAAATGACGGGGTTCAGCTTTGTTCCTACATTCTCCCTTTTTTTATACTGATGATCCGCCGATCTGTATTTGGCAAAGCTGGAATATAGATGGCGTGTGCCTGAAAGTTGCTGATACTCGTCTCGTAGTGGGTAGGGTGCTTGTGTCTTTACGTCTGTTCTGACTGGAAGTTGAAAACAGCAAGCTAGGTGCTGTACAAGGGAATTTCAGCAAGTTAACAGCTCGCGGGGCTCTTAATAATCACTGAATTATTACCCCAGGAGATTACATCGATTTACCCCTTTTTATGTGTGTGTGTGGCGTTGGTTCTTTGCTGTTTGGCACCCGCACTTACTATCTGTGTTGGAGCACCTGAGACGTGCAACACAAATGATTTTGCTGGCAAATTTAGTGCATTTGATTAGGAGGGCATCTCATTTTGGCAACTTAACAGCATGCAAAGAAAGGTTCTACTGCTGCATTAACCGTCACGATTCAGGAGCAACGGTCACCTGGGTCTGGAAAGTGGAAACACCTTCCTCATTCCTCAACCGCATCACACAACCAAGACCCACCACTTCCACCATTTCATGACGGGCTGAGCACAGAGCTGTTAGCCTGTTAGTGTGGTGTAGCCGAAACGTTGTGGGCCGAACACCTCGCAAACCGCCTGGGTGGTGGGTGCCCCTCCTGAATCCAAGCGCGTCCCTTCCTTTTCCGTCGCCTCCCAGTTCGCGTGCCCCATATCCCCCAAGTGCCCGGTGCTCGCCTCTCGCGTCGTTCCGCCATGCGCGCACTGAGCCACGGCAGCAGCATGCGCGCCCATGTCGCCCTGGCCCTCGCGGCGCTGGTGCTGGCCGGTGACGCCCTGCACCCTGCGCTGGCCGCCGCCGGCTTCGACTACAAGGATGCCCTCACCAAGACCATCATATTCCTCGAGGCGCAGCGCTCCGGGAAGCTGCCGCCCAACAACCGCGTCAAGTGGCGCGGCGACTCCGCGCTCGACGACGGCAAGCTCGCCAATGTACGATGATATGACGCGTGTCCATCGTCTTCTTCTTTCTCCATTTTCTTCTTGGACACTGGTCGTCCCTTCATGGATGCAGATGCGAAACTGACATGTATAATGTGATTGAAATGATCAGTTCCGTTCGAACGGATAAAAAAGATACAGCAGATTTACTGTATCTCCATATTCATGTAATATATCCTGCCATATATAGCGGTATGGCACTAACAAGAGCTTAATGCGTGCCCGATCGATCGATCGACGCGATCGAGCAGGTGGATCTCACCGGCGGATACTACGACGCCGGCGACAACGTCAAGTACGGGCTGCCGCTGGCGTTCACGGTGACCACGCTCGCGTGGACGGCGCTGGCGTTCAAGCCCGAGCTGGAGTCGACCAAGGAGCTGGAGCACGTGCACGAGGCCATCAGGTGGGGCACCGACTACCTGATCAAATGCGCCGCCAGGAAGAACAAGCTGTGGGTGCAGGTGAGCCGCCGGCTTCTGTCCGTGCGTGTTTAATCGATCGTGAGTTCGACGGCGGAAATCCTCCATCTTTTTTATGTCAGGTCGGCGACCCCAACTTGGACCACCAGTGCTGGGTGCGGCCGGAGAACATGAAGGCGCCGCGGACGCTGTACGAGATCGACGAGAAGACGCCCGGGACGGAGATCGCCGCCGAGACGGCCGCCTCCTTCGCCGCCTCCTCCATGGTGTTCCGCAACGACAAGAAGTACTCGCGCGCGCTCCTCAACAAGGCCAAGCTGGTTAGCATGCAGGCTCTTTCTTCTGTACACCCATTCCATCAAGAATCCAGCAGACCCGTGCACATCTATCTGTTTTGTCCGGCCCAATGCAACAGCTGTTCCTGTTCGCCAAGGCCCACCAGGGCAGCTACGACGGTGAGTGCCCCTTCTACTGCTCCTACTCGGGTTACAACGACGAGCTGCTGTGGGCTGCGACGTGGCTTTACCTGGCGACCAAGCGTCAGGTGTACGCGGACTTCATCGCCCACGAGGCCATCTCGTCGAGCGTGGCCGAATTCAGCTGGGACCTCAAGTTCCCCGGCGCGCAGGTGCTCCTCGCCGAGTTCAACATGACCTCCGGCGGCGGCGCGCAGAACTTCAAGGTGCAGGCGGACAACTTCGTGTGCGCGGTGCTCCCCGACACGGCGTTCCACCAGGTGTTCATCACCCCGGGCGGCGTGATCCACCTCCGGGACGGCGCCAACACGCAGTACGTCACCAGCACGTCGTTCCTCTTCGTGGTCTACTCCGACCTGCTGCTGCGGACGGGGCAGTCCGTCATGTGCGGGAACCAGCCCGTGGCGCCCGCGCGGCTGCGGGAGTTCGCGCGGCAGCAGATGGACTACCTGCTGGGCGCCAACCCGCGGCACAGCTCCTACGTGGTGGGCTTCGGCGCCAACTCGCCCACGCAGCCGCACCACCGGGGGGCCTCCACCCCCGTGCTGGCCCCCGGCACCGACGTCAACTGCGGGCTCAGCTTCGGGGAGTGGATGGCGCCCGACAAGCCCAACCCCAACGAGCTCACGGGCGCCATCGTGGGCGGGCCCGATAAGAACGACGGGTTCGTGGACAAGCGCGGCAACTCCTCCTACACCGAGCCCTGCACCTACATCAACTCCCTCGCCATCGGCCCGCTCGCCGCGCTCGCCGTCCGCGGCGCGCAGCTCGTCGCCACGCACTGATCCTGAACCTGATCCATCGCTAGTCGTACCTCCACCTCCAAATTCTCCATGCATGCATTCATGTCGCTCGCGCTGTGTTTCTTCCTTCGTTTCTACTGATCGATACCGATCCATCGATTGCGCCCCCGTACTGTTGATTTTTAGGTGTATATGTATGTGCGGATCCAACTCCCTCGTTCTGTTTCTGTACGGACGTACCTACGTGTCGATGATTAAAATGACGATGAACAAATTAAGTCTATGTGGCTTTCGATGGACAACATTTTCACTACGTTTCTTTACACTTGGATGTGATCGAGATTGCATATACAGGTAAAACGGATCGACAGCTTTCACTTCATTTCACTCTTCGATTTGATCCAATATCTGCATGCAGCTGAGATTAATGCTGCCTACGTGTGCTATATATGGAGATAGACGTGATGAATCCGTGATGGATCCACCAGTAGAGAAATGACTTTTGATCCATCTCGAAATTTGGCTTTAGTCCCGGTATTTTTCGTGCCCGGGACTAGAGAAACCTTTTAGTACCGGTTGGTAGCTCTAACCGGGACTAAAGGTCCTGCCCAACGGCTACTGTGGCAGCCTTTTGTTGCAGGGGAACTTTAGTCCCGGTTGGTAGCTCCAACCGGGACTAAATGTTAACTTTTACTCCCGGCTGGTCCCTCCAACCGGGAGTAAAAGTCTACTCCCGGTTAGGCTCCGTCCGAGATTAGAAATGAACCTTTAGTCTCGGTTCTTTGTCTCCAACCGGGACTAAAGGTCTCAAGCCCGAATACGGGGCGACGCGTTTTGTTTAACCGGGACTAGTACGTAGAGTAGCATTTGCTACATAATGCGTCTTCGATAGCTAGCTGATCCCGGCTAGTACGTAGGAACTAGCTAGTACATTTTGTTCACCGTCGATCTTGACATGTCCGAGACTAGTACGTGGCTGTTCACCGTCGGGACATGTCAAGACGTGTCTCTCTCGCTAGCTAGCTGCTACGCATGCGGGAAATCAATTAGTCTCATTTGTTATTACGAGCGGGACTAAAGATATACTTTTTAGTCCCGGTGATATTACCGGTAGGGACTAAAGGGCCGGTGAGATATCGGTAGGGACTAAAGGTTTTTAGTCCCGGTGTTTATAGAGCTTCGATGGGCCGCCCAAGACGCAATATCTTTGGAATTGCTTTGGTCATCCCCACCTATTAGCACCACCTCGCTTGTTCGGAAAAAGTGAAAGCTAACTTAAAAGCTTAGCTCTCGAACCATGCAAAGACGAACTTGAACAGATCTCGCTCTAAGGGATTGTATTACCGATCCTTGACTAAAGGTCCTTCGTACTATAGTTTATATAAAATGTTGAACATTATAAACGTCACGTATATTCTAGCAGCGTAGAATGCGTATTCAAAAACCAAAACGAATCATCAATTAAAAAAAGAAAAAAAAAGAAAATAGAAATAGAAACAAAAAAAAAACCTTTAGTTCGGTAGCAGCGTGAAAAAAGAAAAAAAAAGAAAATAGAAATAGAAACAAAAAAATCTGGTAGCAGCGTGAAAATAGAAATAGAAACAAAAAAAAGAAAAAAAAATCTTTAGTCCCGGTTGGTATTATGAACTGAGACTAAAGGGTTTAGCCCCGGTTGGTATTATCAACCGGGACTAAAGGTCCACCTTTAGTCCCGG